TTAGAACTTGATAAATCAAAACTAGAATCTGATCCTTTGCCATGTTGAGAGGAGCATCAAGATAAATTCCTCCGTTTGTCTCGATATGCCCGGTCTATTCATTCAATACCATCTACATCAGCTAGTATAGAGAGACAGTTCTCGGAAGCTAGTTTGAATATTCAAGAAAGAAAAACTAGTCTTAATCCTGAACAACTGGATAACATTTTATTGATTCGATCAATGCAAAAGAATAAAATATTTTTATAAGAACGTTTAGTTTTTTTTTCGCTTTGTATATTCTCTTTTTTTGTGTATCGTTTTTTTTGTCAAGTCCTTTGTCTTTGCTCTTTTTTTTAATTAATAGTGCCCACTATGTGCTAAGATAAAGATAATGAAACCACAGGAAGTTCATATTTTTTCAAATCTTTTTTTCTAGTGATAAATGTGTTATTAAAGTAATACTTCGAGATGTTTATATATTTTATTGTATTTAAATATTAATGATTGTTATAACTTTAGTTGTTGTATTTGAAAATGATATGAAATAAGTTAGCTATCAGATAACTACTTAGGGGTATCCAAAAGTAGTGGCAACGACATTTTATTAGCATATTTTAGGATTGATAAAAAATTCTTTTTACATAGGATGATAGAGCGAAAAATGCTCTTTCTTTCTATGCTATTTGATTCTACTTCGGTTGACATCATAATAACAAAATTCTAATAAAACTAGTTTGTCTAACATGTGTATCGGTTACACACCCTCACAGTGTCTCCAATATGCATTCTTTTCGTGATCTTTTCTTTGTTTTTCTTCTTTCCTTTATTCTTTTCTCTCGTCTCTTCTGAGACTTTATCGTTTATTCATATCGGCATACTCGAAAATCAAAAATACATGAGCAAGTTCAATAAGTTTTATTTGATTAAATGTTCAAAGTAATCACCTTGATTATCTACACACAACTGCATTCTTTGAATCCATTTCTCAAACGTTTTTCTATACTCATCTTTATCCAAAGAATACATAAACTTGGTTATGGCGTGATGTAACGTTTCGGAATTAGGTTGATCAGTTAGATTTCGTTTGATAAGGTCGAATAACCAAAAATCACAGGGAGATAGATCTGGAGAATTCGGCGGATGTTGTACTATGGTAATTCCCTCTGGACGAAGATAATCGAGGACATATTGATGAACATGTGCTCGTCCATTATTATGATGAAGTTTGATAGCATGAGTACCTGAGGAAGGTCTTTGTTTCTTAATTTCTTCGATCACATGTTGCAAACAATTTTCGATGTAATAATGGAGATCGATAGTCTGTTCACGTTCAACACGATGGATTAGAAGAGGACCAGTTGATTTAAAGAAAATGCAAAATAAAGTTTTAGAAGCAAACTTATTCGTCGTATTATTGTTGGTGGAGGATCATCTTTTGCCACCCAAGCAGCATTGGAAACTTTTCTACCAGTTTGCTGATGGAAAAACCACGATTCATCACCCGTTATCACGTCAGACAAACGCCATCCTCCTTCTGTAAATCTTGATAGATTTTCTTTGCATATTCGAACTCGTTCATTTCGTTGATAATCCGTTAGCTGTTTGGGTATGTAACGAGCAGTAATTTTTATAAGTTCCAGATGATCCGATAATATTCGATGAACGGTGCCATAGCTTAGACCAGTATGCTCCTGTAATTCTGCTATTGTAACATGAGGATCATCGTTAACAATACTACGAATTTCTTCGATATTGTCAGGAGTAGTCTCAGTTACAGGTCTTCCAGATCGTTCTTCATCTTCAATTTCTTCTCGACCTTCACGAAACCATTGAGCCCATCTAGCAACTGTTCGATAAGAAGGAGCTTCATCACCAAAAACCGTATGCAGCACGTCGTGAATAGTTCTTGCTTCAATATTTAGTGCAGTACGCACTTTAATGTAGAAACGAAAACTCTCTGTGTTCATTGAAAACAAAAATGAAGAGTGTTAAGAGCCGATTTAACTCTACTCTTTTATTTTCTATCAAATAGAATAGTGCATGGCACGTGCACAAAAAGAGGCATGCATCTTTGTATTTATATGATAAATGATAAAGTCTCAGAAGAGACGAGAGAAAAGAATAAAGGAAAGAAGAAAAACAAAGAAAAGATCACGAAAAGAATGCATATTGGAGACACTGTGAGGGTGTGTAACCGATACACATGTTAGACAAACTAGCTTTATTAGAATTTTGTTATTATGATGTCAACCGAAGTAGAATCAAATAGCATAGAAAGAAAGAGCATTTTTCGCTCTATCATCCTATGTAAAAAGAATTTTTTATCAACCCTAAAATATGGTAATAAAATGTCGTTGCCACTACTTTTGGATACCCCTAAGTAATATCATGTTTTTTTTTGACCTTTCAAGAGTGCTCAAGGTTTGAT